TAGCCCGTCAGATCGTGCATTAAACCCGCTTGTGAAAGGCTTCCGTCTTACAATGCAAGGTGCTATCTTACTCGCTAAGGAAAATAAGGAATTACGCGCCACCAACGAGAAGCAGAAGCAAAAGCGCACTCGATCCCGAAGGCAGATACCTGGAGAAGAAGGCCTCTTAGTTCAAGAAGCATCTGTATTAATTATGCAGCCGGAGGAAGCAATTGAAGCGCCTGCCCCCGGTCCCGACATACATGGAGAATCGGCTTTACAGCCGCGTACAAAGCCCCCCCGAGGGTGTGGGATATGTAGGAAGCCAGGGCATAGAAGAGACATGTCCAGATAGATGATATATTTAGTTTATTTAATTCAATGGCGTTTTGGTTGAGATAAATGCGTTTAAAAATGGTAGGTTGGGTTGGGTGGCCCACTCGCTGGTGTGGCCCACTCACTAGTGAAATACGTTAACATCAGGACCGGAGGATGACTAAAAGTGCTAGGCGGGTGCAGAATGGTGTTATAGGGCACTGGGCGGTCAAGGGGCGGCTGGACGTCCAAAGTTACGGGTGGAAAGGCAGCCGTTTCTGGCCTCACAAGCGGTCATTTTCGGCGTCAATCCCACAGGTCCTCATATTCTAGTTGTAAACATGCGTCCATCGGTGAAGGTGACTTGACCAGTGGAGGAAACTGCTTGATCCGGAAGCTTTGCACGGCCGCTTTGAATTGCTGATTTGATAATGAGAGTTGGTCTGCACTGGACATTTGTTTGACCAGGAAATTTGTCAAGGCCAGGTTCGTTGCAGATTTCACCGTGAGTCTTGATGTTGACAGAAGAGAGGAAGAGTTGATAGCGAGCCGTGGAAATCTTTGTGCCTCTGTGACAGCTGGCGAAACAAGGTCATGGTAGTTGAGTTTATGGCGGATGGTGGCCATGGCGTCTGTTCAAGATGGGAGGAACCATAGTGGACGGTGGCCGGAGTGGGTGGTCAAGATGCGAAGACCCATAGTAGATGGTGGAGGCCAGATTGGACGGTCAAGATGCGAAGACTCTTGTCAAGATGGTTGTCAGGTCGATTGTCAAGGTGATTGTCAGAAGGTTTCAAGATATTTTTCATGACGATTGATTGTCAAGATGGTTGTGAATGTGATTGTCAGAAGGTTGCCGAGATGGCTTTTAGGACGATTGATTGTTAAGATGGTTGTTAAGGTGGTTGTCAAGATGCTTTTCAGGACGATTGATTGTCAGGAAGGTTGTCAGGAAGGTTGTCAGGAAGGTTGTCAGGAAGGTTGTCAGGAAGGTTGTCAGGAAGGTTGTCAGGAAGGTTGTCAAGATGGTTGTCAAGATGCTTTTCAGGACGATTGATTGTCAGAAGGTTGTCAAGGTGGTTGTCAAGGTGGTTGTCAATCATTGTCATTGGTGGATGGTGGTTGTCGTTGATGATCAAGATATGAAGACTCTTAGTGGATGGTCGTCAAGGTGATCATCAAAGTGATCAGAAGGGTGTCAAGATAGTTGTCTGGATAATTGTCATTGGTGGATGGTTGTTGCATAGATAATAGCCAAGGGTAAAATTGAAAATTGATGCTTTTTTGGTAGATGAGGGGCCAAATGAAAGGCCTACATGGTTGTTGTGATGTACGATTGATGGTGATGGTGGGCACGGTGGAAGGTTGCCGAGATCAAAGGCAAGGTGAAAGGCCAAGATAGTTGAGTGGGCAGTGGGAAACTCATTCTAGTCGAAGCTCATTCTAGTCGAAGCTCATGATGAATGGTGAGGTGGTCATAGTGAATGGTCAAGCTCATGGTTGACGGCAGTCATGAAAGACGATGATCATGATAGACAATAGCCAAGGTTACTGATGATGACGAAGATTGTGGATGTCCAAATGGAAAGGCCCGGAGTGGATAGTTATCATAGTGGATAGTTATCATAGTGGATGGTCGTCACCGTGGATTGTCCCACCATCAATGTTGTTCCTAGAAACAAGTTAGCGTGTCCATGATTCCGGGGGTGGAGGGATGTTATTGTAGATTGTTCGTTCATAGTTGTCATCAGGGCTGTCCCTGGAAGCCACCCAAGTGTTCAACGTCAGATTGGAGGATACGCGGGATATTGCAGTGGAGAGTGCTCAATTGTTGGAAGGCCCTGATGGAGGGTGGTTACGGTAGGTGGTATTGGTGGTGAATGGCGGTGGTCAAGCCGTAGTGTTGGCCAAGACAAGGGTGGTCAAGACAGACGAAGGTTGGTCAAGACAGAAGTGGTAATCAAGACTGACGAAGGTCAAGATGTAAAGGCCAAGAGTGGAGAAAAATGAATGATTGTTGCCCTGGATAGATAATTCCACCATCGCATCAGGGCTCCAAGGTTGTTTCTAGGAACCAGTCAGCATGTATCATGTTGTGGGGAAAAAGGTATGTATGTTATCGTGGTTTGTTGTGACGATGAATGGTCGCCAAGATGAAAGGCCGAGATGGTTGTTATGTTGATGGTGGGCACGGTGGAAGCACAGTGGACTATCATGACAGATGGTCATGGTGGGTGGTCATGATAGGTCATGATGGATGGCCAACGTGATGGCCAACGTAACAATGGACAACAGTCAAGGTCACCGTGGATGTTCAAGACGCAAAGGCCCAGAGTGCAGAGTCTTCACCGTGGATGGTCCCACCATCAAGGTCTAGAGACAAGTCAGTGTGTCTCCAATCAACGAAGGAATGGGTGATACTGCTATGCATAGTTATTATTGGTCAGAGAAGGTGAGGTCCTATGAAGAAGTAAGCATGTGTGTATATGTTGAAGGAGGGTAAGGGATATTATGGTAGATGGGTCATGGTGACTGGGGACCATGGTGAAAGCTGAGAAGCAGCAGAGAGATATGGAGAGAAAAAAGGAGAAGAAGGGAGAAATGGGAGGGGAGGGGGGTATTTATATTTTTCCAGTGGCTGAACCCCTGGGAACTGGGGTTGGCGACGAGTTTTGACTAAAAGGGAAGCTGCGACACACGAGAGGGCTAGGGCAGGTACTTCCAGGGCGTGCTCTTGCCTAGTTCCCTATTTCTCCTATGTTGACACCCACAAAGATCTACATATCACCTGTGTTGCTGCTTAGACTCTAGTATATGGGTTTAGAAATTGATATACAGAAGGTTAAGGGTACCTCTGACCTTTCCGCCGCATACCAAACTTGAATCTTGGGTCTATTACGATGAGCTAAATGGATCGACAATCAACAGCACCTAGACTCCCAGTATCATTCCCCACATTTCCCCAGCTCTTCAGGTCCACTCTCACCTCCACTATGGCTCCACAGGTATTTCGTTGCGATAAGATCAGGTCTACGAGTTTCGAAGATGAAGATTACCGACTCGGACCCTTCATCTACTGGGAAAAATCAAAAGACAAGAGACCGCCAACCAAATGAGACAACCTAGGACTCATGTTTCGCTTTGCGTCCAAGTGTTTCAAAGGTCTAATCCAAAGTCAACCCGACTCTTTATACCAACCGGCTGGGGTGAGTTCGCCGAGATCGATCGAAAATTGCTCGCTGCACTATGGGCGTCATATGGGTATGTCCCCGGAGAATGTGTTGCGGTTCAAGGCTGATAATACTCAAAGACCGTCAAATTACTAGCGCGGGATTCATTGCACGGCCTTTCGGGTTACAGTTTACGAAAGTACCAAATCCCCAACCCTGTCTCCATTCGCATACGCGACCCCCCGTATGAAATTTCCCGACCAACGTGGCTACGGAGACACTTCCTCGTCGACAGTAACCGGAGAACTGACCAACATCGGAGGAATAGACGCTTCGACAAACCCATCAGCAGAAAAAGATGACACAGCAAGCCCAGTTGGTACGGATGCCAAGTATGATGTGGGGAATATTGCTTCGTTGGCAAATATGCCTATCGGTCAATATGTCTTTGACTTAACTAGATTGGTGGGAAAGAGGATGCCAAACAACGAGGCCTTCCCTCCCAGCAAAATGCATGTGCTTCGTTATCTACGCAAGTCGACCGAGTCTATCGATCAGACTATCTTCAGCTGAATGCTGCTGACCGCAGGAAATACAATTTCTGAGCTCTTGATGGCCCGCAGCCCTTCCAACGCCTATACCGAAAATTACAAGGTGAAGTTACTCGAAGCCTCTGCAGCCGCAGTTCGTGCGGTGTATTGCCTCGACATTGGTCAGCATGAGGCCCAAGATAGCAGCTTTCCTGACTTCGTCGGTGATCTCCAAGAGATTTGTCGACATCTTCCGGGTGATGGATACGTGACGGCAATGGTGAAATGTGCCGCTGAGGTACTGGAGATTATCGAAAATAGAAGAGGAACAGCAGAATAAGTGACTGGCCGAGAGGAAGATGCATCTATCAGTCAACGAAGATGATAACCATGATCACCGAGATTTGCTATTTCGCACTGGGAATACTGAGCGATGATGTTGCTGTTGTTGCTGACATTAAGACCTTGTAGTACCTACAGGGCTAGGTACATACATAGCTACACGTCCCATATTTCCTCTGGCCCGGGGCTTCCATATCTTAGCTGGAGTTAGCTAATTCCAAGTTGACTTTTCCGCAACTTCACGTAGAGAAATCCTTCCAAAGCCAAAGGGCTACGGTGTAGTGTATTAGGTCCAATATCAAATGAACTGGTGAAGAGACTCTTTAAGGAACTTCCACAGACGTTTCCTCACAAGCGTTGGCAAGCCGTCTTCGCCAGATGCGGGTGGTTTCTTTTATGGCTTTAAGATGTCGCTGGATCTCAAGCTCAGTGATGGGTTACCAAGAGAGTTCCAAAGGTGCCTGGGTGAACGGATCTTGATGTGGCACATGAATTGCCATTTCACCCATTGAGCTTGACTGCGTTTGGCTCTTCTTGTTGCAAATCTTGCAAAACCTGCAGAGATGATACGTCTAATCTACCGCGGAGAGGGAAAAAGCTACATTATAGCTGTCCACTACGGCTGGGATTGGATATGATGATGCCACGGTCAAATCTTTGTCTTTCAATTCTGTCGCGGCGGTCTCATCACTTGAAATCCCTTTTCCTTCTTCTTCTTCTTCTTCTTCTTAGGGTTAAATGTCTCTACAGCCCTGACTGCCCACTCGCGCAGGGGGTTTCGACTTTTTTGGCTTTCTTTTGGCGGCTCTTGCGGGATTGGTACTGGCGAGGCGGAGCCGTTGCCTAATTTCCCATAGAATAAATCGGACTCTCTCATAGAGTAGTCAATGTTGGGTCTGATAGGCACTTCCATAAGCTCGTCCAACGGATCCTGAAATGGATTTGATAGATGAGAATGACTGCGTGGATTTTCAGCGGGTTCTTCATGTGAGTTATTGAGAGCAGATGATCGTTTCGGTGGATCCTTGTAGCGATGTCGTGGTTGCCTATAGAAGGCAGAGAAATCTGTGATGTGATATCTTTCGTGGGTTGGTGAAGGGAAAGCACTCGTTGAATTTACGGAGGCATTGAGAGGCACACCAGATCTCCTTGAGGGTTCTGAACTACCAGAATTGAATAGTCCAGTGAATTCCCTTTTCTGTCGATTTTCTCCCATCCTATCCAACACAATCCCCATAGTTCGGTCCTCGGGATCAGGCATAAAGTGGCCAGAAGATGAACACTGTCACAGCAAATTAGATTCTCCATCTGACGGTTGTATGTGAATGAATGACTTACCCTCGCGGTGTTGGACTTGTTCCTTTGGTTGGATAGAGGTTTTAGGACAGTCCCAACGTTCCCCGGTAGATCTTGAGTCAGCTGCCAAAGTGCAGAAATAAGAAAACCGAAAATTATCATAATGCCATGTAAACATAGCATTATATAACCGACCCATTGTTTAGTCGTTTCATTTGATGAGCATGCGAAAGTGATACTTAGGCAAATAGTCAGAAGGCGGACAATAGTGCACCAAGCAGATATAGACACAAAGAGCCTGCCACGAAGTGATGTGGCCATATGTAGGAGGAGAATTATTTCAGTCCCCATCAGCAGGAGGACTTGCACCAAGCCCCAGTCTTGCAATCCTCCTATCACAATTCCTTGCAACAATGGTATTGCAGCTGGCAGATACTGCGACAGATACTGCCCAGGCTTTATTGGAGATCCGGCTGATCCGCCGCCCTGAGAGAAGTCGTCCGGAGATGAGCTATCGTTGAGCTCCTTTTGACGCTGAACATGGCGAGTGAGGAGAAAATTTGAATAAACAAGAATTGCAATCGACAATCCGACTAGAATGATGCGGTAGTTAGGCAGATATCCAATGAGAACTAGCTCGTAGGACAAGTAGGATAGCAGAGGAAGACTAGAGAACGACAGAGCCATGCCGATGATAATGCAACCCACGTTCCAGGTGACTGAACTCAGGTGGAAACCCCCACTCAATCGTGACATTATCAGACACAGGATCAAAGAAATGACAACGACAGCGAAGAGGAGAATTGAGAGGTTGATAAATGAATCAATCGTGATATCCGGCATCTGGGGGAAACCAAGCGTTTGAGACATGTACTCGAGCCCGTAAGACCCATTAGTGACATACATGCCATCTTCCACCCCGGGATAAGTAAAACCATGATCAATAGGGCCCATCCAATATAGAAGCGAAGACCAAGCCGCTTGGCTAACTATCGGTTGATAGAATCCAGGGTACTTCAAAGTAAGCGACCCAGCTAGAAAGATGAATTGCAGATACTGTAAATAGCCAGCTAGGTCGGAAATGATTTCCCACATTGGGCCCAGAATAGACCAGGCGGCTCTGCTTTCAAATAACGATATCCATCTTAGTGCGTCATTTGCATGCGTCTTCCATGAAGCGGCGCCAACTAGGGCCATAACAACAGCAGGGAGATATGTGAATATCACAGAGGCTGCTCTGCCGATCTCCGGGGTGATCTTAGCTGCCGCACAATCAAGGTGGGCGCCATCTTGTGTCCTGAAACTAATTTCTGCAAAGACAGTTTGGAGCCGATGGGCATTTCCAAAAGAATACAAGATCTCGTATTTTGAGAAAAGTGTGCCTTCCGGACTAAAGAGTAATGTTAGGCGAGGAGAAATGGTTATGTTCGCCAGATGAATCGGCAACACTTACGGTGTCAGGGTCTCAGTGATTGGTAGAGGGCATTCGCTGTTAAAGCTTTCTATATGCCCAATTGGGATACCGAGGACATGGAAACGAAAGGAAGTCTCAAGCAACGGTAGGTCGAGATCGCTGCATGTAAAGTGTGTCGTGTTGTGGATCGCCAGTATTGACAATGAGAATATTGTCGGGCTCTCAAATTTACCACGGAGGCTGTCAATTCGGAATGGGGTATCCCATGGCTCGTGTAACTCAGACGAATCGCATTGAAACTTGCTAACCCATCCAGCTTCACAGGCTAGGATATTGAGAGTAAAGATGAGGACTAACACCCAAGAACGTGATCTGAGCCGCATGGCGTACTGGTTTCGGCAGCGCACCACTGGGTAAATGATTATAGGGGCATTGCACTTTTTCTCAATGGTTTCGATTCCTAGGAGAAGGTTTTCCCTGATGTTTAGGAACCCATTAGCTGGTCCAGGGAAAGGGCCCAGACGAGGCTGGCTGCGC